ATATGGGATGAAGAATGATGTTTTATTATTGGAGTTTAATATGTAATGCCTTATGTTGAGTAGTTCTAATTTTTTTTTATATATACACACACACACACACATATATACACACACACACATATATACATACACACACATATATACATACACACACTTTATATATATATATAGTCCAGCAATAAAAATGAGACACTGCTAGAGTCCCTTCCCAAGAATTGTATAAAACAATCTTGAGCAAACATAGGATGAAGTATGTTTACTTAAAAAATAAACAGGTAATATACCAAGGTATTGACTTTACCACAGTATTTACTGAATTCATGCTTTTATGTTTTTGTTTTAGACTAAGGGTATGTCTACACTACCCACTGGATCGGCGGGCAGCGATCGATCCAGCGGGGATCGATTTATTGCGTCTAGTGTAGACACGATAAATCGACCCGAGCGCTCTCCCATTGACTCGTGTACTCCAGCGCCGCGAGAGGTGCAGGCAGAGTCGACGGGGGAGTGGCAGCAGTCAACTCACTGCAGTGAAGACACCACGGTAAGTCGATCTAAGTACGTTGACTTCAGCTATGTGAATAACATAGCTGAAGTTGCATAACTTAGATCGATCCCTCCCTTCCCCCCCTGTGTAGACCAGGGCTAAGTTCTTTGGGAAAGGGACCCTCCTTATATCTGCATATTTTACTGTGGCACACTGCTTGCAGTGAACAAAAAAAACAGTATTTCCTGTATAGAAAATATATAGCACAGTAAGATTTAATCAAATCCACAGTAAATATTTACTTTTAAGGAAGACCCACTTCCTCTTAGGGCCTTTGAAAGTCTTCCTCTAAATAGCCCACTAAGTAGAAAGGTACACTGCTTCTCTCCTGTTCCTTCTTCCTTATGCTCATGACTAGAATGAGTAACATTTATTCCTGTGAAGGAACACAGCAATGCCTCATTTTTATTACTGTATACAACTATATGTTCTTAGCAGAAGTAGGCTAGAAAAGTTCAAGTTTGCCACAGCCACTGAATGTTCATGAATGTCTGCCCAGAATATTCAAAGAAAAACAGAACATCCAGTCTTAAAATTTTCCAAGTTGGAATGGATAAGTGTCCCATATTAATTCACGATCCAGGTACAGAACTATGTATACATTTTCTTGTCTTCAATTTGCAGCTATTATTACAGTGAATTTTGTGAAGACCTGAAGGACAGCTTTCTGGCTGACTGCAATATTTGGTACTGAAAATGCAACATGTCCACTGCAAATGTCTGATAGTGCTGGTTACTAGCATACTTCTGAAAATAAGCCTTTTAAGTCAATCTGTGCTAAGAATCTCCACGTTTAATCAAAGCCTTGGGATAAAAAAATTGCCCCATTTCTGGTAAACATCAAAACAGGAATAAAAAATAGACTGAATGCCCTGGCCCCATCCTAAATATTGCATGGCAGAAAACACTAAGGTTTATTTAGCAGTAAATTCTCAGGGTGACACAAGAGACTCATTCAACTGTACACAACAACAGAAGCTCTGCTCTTGGTTGCTATGCTTAAAAATTCAAAAAGCAACAAAGAGTCCTGTGGCACCTTAAAGACTAACAGATGTATTGGCGCATAAGCTTTCGTGGGTGAATACCCACTTCACCCACGAAACCTTATGCGCCAAAACATCTGTTAGTGTTTAAGGTACCACATGACTCTTAGTCTGGATCTGTAAAAAGCAACAAACACGGCTACCCCTCTGATACTTAAAAATTCAAGTTTATGATGTATTCTGGAATATGGAGTGGAATTGAACTTTTTTATATTGTGAGGAAAAGAGCTTTGAGGTCCTGACCCTCATAAAATCTTTTAACTTTATGGGGGCACAGTAGGAAAATCAGACACCTTGCAGTAGAATAAAGATCTGTTCCACAAGAGCAAAGTCATAACATTGTACTGGCCAACACAATTGTAAGCGTACAATCTGTAAAAGGGTTTTTTCTTTCCCGTTTTTATCCAGATATATTCCCTTTTCTGAATCCTTAATGTCCCTCCTCTTAGACTGAGTTAATTCCAAAATAAATAAATGTAAAATATTGAAACTTTTATTTTTGAAATGGGCAACTGAGACCAAATGATAGTTTATACCCCATCTTCTGTAAAAATTTGGTGGAAACCTTGGCAGAATCAGAGTTATTTTATGTATGTCATGATAAAGACAAGCATCTGAACCCAGAATCTGCCCCAACATAAAGTGCCATAAACTGCCTTTCATCATAACAAAACAACTAAGATTAAAAGTTCCCAACCACTTTCTAAAACCACAGTCATACTTTATTAAATTTTATTATCCATTCAAACATTTTGGCTCATGAGACTTGTTTTTGCTTTTTAAAGTAAGACGGCTTATGACTATCAGTTTAAAAAAGCAAAAATTCTTTGTATAAAAATGGCTCATTGTTCACTATACTAAACATATATACACTTTTAGAACTTCATGTGGCATCATTTTTACCATACCTGATAAAATTCCCGAAGCCAATTCTTCTGTAAATTTTCTGGCTGAAAAAGAATATACAAAAACCCATTAAGACAGAAGCAAAGCATTTTGTAAAAGAATATCTCAATACCCATTGATTTCCTTAATTGACTCAAATGGAGAGTCCCCCCCCCCATTAAAAACAAACTACCAAGTCCTTCCTAGAACTCTACCACTCAGAAATCTCCTTTTTCATTTTGTACCTCTCTTGCCAAGATCATACCCAATGAACAATGCAAATATGTAAGGTGAAAAAGATCCTGTATAAATGCAGTAAAAGTAATCCAAAACCATTTCATGTCTGACCTCTGCAACACAGAACAAAGTGTTAAGGAAAAACAGTTGAAAAGGCTGAAAATATTACTCATAAATCTAAATCCTGCAATAATATAGTTTTTAATGTATGCATTTAAAGTACTTATGAATTAACTGAACATCAAAAACAATATAAACTGTTTAAATCTAATCTTTCATACATTTGAGCTTATGGCTTCAAGTTACATACACTGAACTATACTGAGATATCTTTTGTAACACTGACTTAAAAAATTACAGCATTCATTTTCTGTGTTTAAAGTTTATTGGAACGCCTTCCAAAGATAAACATGTAGAAAGTACACAGTCTCAGCATAGATGAAAAGATTTGTAGCTTGTAACTGTTTCAGGTTTAAAGCCTTTTTTGTAAACTCTACCTCTGGCTTTATTAAGAGTTGAAAAGAAGTTCTTTGGGGCAGGGACTGTCAGATTATTCTGTTTGTACCGTGTGTAGCACAGTGAGGCCCAGGCCATGACTGGGGCGCCTAGGCTCTACAATAAAGAAAAAAGGTAAGAGAATTTCTAGATTACCCCTTATTTGTAAGGACACAGCTCTTTATGCAAAGCCCTGCCCTTTCAGAAACATGTAACCCTCTGAATAGAACTACGGAAGTACAGTAGTTTACAAATCTGCACGTAGCACCTAGAGAAAGATACAAACCGTTGTTTAATCTTCTGAATCTGGGCTAGACTTGAGTAGGGGTAGAACTTGTAATGTTCTGCAAACACAAGGCAGGCTCCCTAACATTTTACTGGCAAGAAGTGACATCGTTTGTGTTACATAGAATAGAGGTTAGTGAAATGAAAAGCCAAAAAGACTTCAATAAATGGCTTTTACTTGACCGAGAGGCACAACACAAAATAATGCTGGTGCTTCTTTCAGATATATAAGAAATTTCTGTTCTGCTGGGTTCTCTATCAAGTGGTGGTCTTACATAGTTAAATAAAATTAAGAATATTTTATACTTCTTTATTAACTTGTACTGATTGCTTATTAAATGAAGACCTCCATAATTCTGCCACAAGTGCCTAAAAACTCTGCATATAGTGCAAGAATTGGGGCTGGTCAAACAGAGAATTTTTTTATGAAAATTTTCTGAAAATGTTTCTTTTTTTGCTGAAAATCTCAAATTCAGAAAATTTTCAATCAACTCAGAAAAATAGGAAGCATTTTTAGCAATTTTGTGAAAAATGTATAATTTTCCTTCTTGCTGAATTGTGACATTTCTATTGAAATTTCAAAATTTGGAGATTTTCAACCAGCTGTAATAGGAACGTTATCTTTCTTTTCTGCCCTTATATAATTTTTTTGAGGTTGACAAAATTCCAAAGGAAAAATATGAAGACTTCAAGACCAGGAGCTCACAAAAGGAAAAGAATGCCAGCATGCTCTGCCGTGTTCACACTTAGATTATAATCTATCTCCCTAACTCTGTCAAAACTGCAATGTAACAGCAGCTTCTCCACTTTTTTCATTTCGACTTCAATAAGACAGCTCGTTGAGTAAAGATAAGCACAAATGTAAGGATCAGGGCCTAAGAACAGTAGTACTGAACAGTTTAAAACAAGGGTTGCTGTGATTTGAGGTCAAAACCTAGTCTTCAAGATGTAAAGATAAAGCAATTAACATTTAATAAATAAGTGATGCTGAATTACGACAAGGTACTGATTATGATAACTGAAAGATTGACTATCATATAAAGGCATATTTTACTTATGATATTAATAGGAGATTTGCACAGAGATAAGATGGCATTTCATGTGGATTAAGAATGGCACATAATACTAAATTATACCCTCAATCAATGGAGCATAATTAAAAATGAAATTTCTTTCCACATAGGCTATATCTGCCCTGGCACACATATCCAGTGACTTGGATTGTGTACATGCACATGCATGTTCCCTATACCCACACCAAGTGTCCACATATCCTGTGCTGGACATGGGCATAATGCCATGTACATGAGTGTACCCATGTGCACACTGCCACCATTGTTACACAACATTAGCACTACCACTGGTAGCCCCGGGTTCTGAGTGTCACAGGGAGATATTCTAGGAATGACTTAACTGTGTGCTGTTGGTATTGTCCCCTGCCTAGGCTTCATACATATGCCAATGGCAGTTCCTGATGATATCACCCCACTTGCCACACTGAGTGGAACACATGGAGCAATGGGATGATGCCATGGTTCTGTTCCTGCTCCTTATTACAGGACAAATGTTTGTTTATTTAGTGGAGTAGGCAATGGGCAAGATGCTGATGGCATTTGTGCAGAACTTTCTGACACAACGAAGATGACTGACCTTGAAGATGAATGACAATTCATTTAGCTACCACGGTACAGATATGGTGAATACTGCTATTGCCACAATATGCCCCTAGGTGGGCCATCACTTCTAGGACAGGAGAACCAGCATGGAGCAGTGCAATCAAATCATTTTGGTAACCTGGGATAACCATCAGTGGCTTCAGAATTTCTGAATATGGAAACAGACATTCATGGAGCTGTCTAACAAGCCTGCACAGGGATTCCATACTGGTGCAGAGGCAAGTGGCTATTACCCTGTGGAAGCTGGGAACATTAGACTGTAAGTCCATTGCAAACCACTTTGGGATTGGAAAGTCCGCTGTTGGGGTTGGGGTTGTGCAGGTTTGCGAAGCAATTAACAATGTGATCTAACCACAGGTGGTTGCCATTAGAAAAGTTCCAGAAATAATAGCTGATTTGACAGGATGGGGGTTTCCAAAACTGTGCAGGGGCCATCAGTGGTACCCATATCCCAACACTTTGCTTACCAAAAGGAGCAAGCGAATATGTGAACTGAAAAAATTACTATTCGCTCATTCTGCAAGGCTTAGTGGACCACAGGGGCAGAGTCATGAATACCAATGCGGGAAGCACTGATTCATGATGCCAGGGTGCTGAGGAGATCAGGATTGTACTTGCTTCTGGGGAATAAAGTCCTTTCTTCCCCCATAGGTCTCTATGGTGTGTTGGTGCCAACAGTTATTTTGGGAGACCCCACGTCCTAATTTGGCTCATGAAACTATACACAAACATCGATGGAAAAATGGACTCAGGAACAGCTTCTATGGGTAGGGTCACCAACCCTCCAAGATTCTCCTGTCTCCAGAAATTAAAGATTAATCTTTAATTAAAGATTATGTCCTGTGATGAAACCTCCAGGAACATGCCCACCCAAAATTGGCAATTCAATCTGTAGCTGCAGAAGGGTTATGGAGTGTGCATGTGGTAGGCTGAAATCTTGTTGGTGCTGCCTACACACCTGTCTGGATGCCAATATGGCAAATGCTGTTCATAGAACTGTTGCTTGCCGCATACTCCATAACATTCATGGAAATAAAGGGGAGCACATCCATACTAAGAGGGCTCAGGACAAGTCTGGTTTACAAACTCTATCCAGGCATCTGGATCCAACCCACATTCACACTGTTCCCAGTTCCCAGCAGGTAAGTGAAATCAGGGATACCACATGTGCACGTACCTTGGCACAGCAAGGAGGCAGAGAATGACATCTATCTGTGCCGAGGGACAACTTCTGTGCAGCTTCCAGAAAAGCATGAGAGGTAACACTGGCACTTACATGTTGGGCTACATACTTTATGAGGTTCCCCCCCTATAAGTGAAGGTCATTAGCCATTCATTCCTGTGACAATTCATACATTCTAGACAATTACAACAGGGCACCTCCACTGGGTTAACACCTTTGGGTGAAGCATGTGCTTTGGAGGGTGGCAGCCAAGTTGCAATCCTGTCATTGTGCAATGCTTTTGTCTTAACTGTTCACACTTGTTTACTTGTGTTATCAGGAGCACTCAATTTTTTAACCATTCTTCATCAGCAGTACTAACTATACTTAGAAGCTGTTATGGAGCACTAATTAATCTCTACTAAGTTGAAACTGGTCGGGGGGGGAGCGAGAGGGAGAGATGGCCATTTAATCATTGGGTAGTGACAGACACCTGTTTTGTTATTTGAATTGTGCTTCATTTTTCCTGCATGTAAACCAAGAAATAAAAATATCTATCTACCCATTTTCTGTTAGTTCTGCTGCGTTTAGAACTAGAGGTGCTTTCTGTAAGCATGTAACACTAACTGTACTTTCCCCCTCCCTCCCATGTAGCCTTGGAACTTTGGATATAGGGTGCGGGGAGGTTGTAGGTGTGGGTCAGACAGAAAAAGTGTCTGCAGTATGATGGCCCCAGACAATTACACCATTCCACTTCATGTGCTGTGAATCGTGGGCCCCAGTCCCAAACCTGAAAACATCCTACGTGCATCATACTTAGGAAAGAGGGTCTACAGACAAGTCAGAGAAACGATAACATTTAATAAATGTATTATATTGAACATGTAATTTAAATATTTTTAAAAAGATGGAAACCAACCAAACATAACAGGACTGATTCCATGAACAATGGTCAAATGATAATGTCTCATGGCCCTTCCACTGACAAGGGGGGAATGATGAGAGGGAAATTGTTCTTGGGGACAAAAAGGAATGTCTCTTGCATGGAGTTAGGGAGGGAGGCACGTGGTGGACTTCAGGCACTCTCACAGGGCTAGCTTCCTCCTTCTGGATGCTCAGGGGTGTCTCTTGCAAGAGGTTTTGGGTGCTGGTCTGATCCTGAGAGTCCTGCAGATTCCTCTCAGGCACTCGGGGAAGTGGGGGCTTGGGT